CTTAACGGCTAGTTGACACTTGGCATGCACAAAGAAAAAGAAAAGAAAAGAAAAAAATGGGTGTGAGGGAGGATGAGTGAGTTGGCCGTCAGTTGGGACTGCAGCAAGTAGGGACTGCCAAGTCCCAACTGTCCACAAGTGGAGGGAAAAGAAAAGGAAAAGAAAAGAAAAAAAAAAGTAAAACGGGGAAAGTCAAAAGGGCACTAACGTACAAAAACGATCACCTAGGGGAAGGATTTTGGACCAGGTTCAATTGGGCAATGTGGCGGTTACAAAGGACTATGTTTTTCTTTGATTTATGCTGAGAAAATTAAAAGAAAACAAGGCCCCATGCAACCGAAAAATAACGGATTGCATGGGGGAGGCCAAAGTCAAGTTTCAAGTGCACCGGGAGCCAGAATTGAGGCCGGATGCACTTGGGAATTGGCCGCCTGATTTTCTTTTGGTAGGGGGTTAGTTGAGGGGCATTGGGGCAAGGGAAACTGCCCCTAGTGCAGTCCGAGTTGCAACGGACTGCATAGGGAGGAGCAAACTCATGTTTTTGGGGCTCCGGGAGCCAAAAGTGAGCCCGAAGGACTTAGGAAAACTAACGTTTTATTTTCCTTGGGCTTGGGGCATGACATGGGGTCATGGGGCTAGCAAACTGGTGGTGGATGCAGTCCGAGAAATAACGGACTGCATGAGAGTGCTCGGACCTAGGGGAAATGGGCCGCGGCACGCCGGAAATATTAGAAAATGGTGTCGCGGGCTTAAAGGGAGTGTGACGGCAAAACGACAACGGCATGGCGGGGGCCCCGCGGTCGGAAAAACATTGACGGCACAAGGGACACATGAAGAAAATAATAAAACTGGATTGTCGGGGACTTGGGAAGTCCCAAGTAAAAATTGGACGTCAACCGGGATGACGTCGGGGGCCAAAGGGGGCCAAATAAAAATTGTTGAAAATTGGGCCTTGTTGGCGGCACCGCCGGCGGAACGGTAAATTGGGACTAGTGCGGGAAGCGACGGGGGCTTGAGGTGTTCGAAAGAGAAGACCACTAGAAAAGATGTGGAGCGGCCGAAGAAAATAAACGGCGTCGTCGAGTTCGAAGATCTCGACGGTAGAAGTTACGGGCACCACTAGTGCCAACGCTAGTGGGGCTCATACGGGTGAAAGCGGGAATGAGGAGCAATAAAAAAATAATAATAAGGGGAGGGTTGTCCAGCAGTCCGGGGTATTTTGGACTAGCTAGGCACAAGAAAATAAAAGCCTAGGGGCTCCAAGCAAAGAACAGGCTAATTAAGAAAAATCGGAACCTAGGGGGCCCAAAAGGAAGGCTAACGGGAGTGAAATGAGCCCCCTAGAGGCATGGGCATTGCAGCTTCGTGTAACGGCCAACAACCGGCCATGTTCAAGGCTCTGAGGCCTAGAAAGAAGGTGCACAACAAGTTGACACATGTCCTAACAAAAATAAAAGAAAAAGAAAAGAAAAATGAGAGAAAAATAAGGAGAAATGAGAGAAAAAGGGAGGAATGGATGGAGGAGAATGTGCCGGCAATTGGGATGGCTGCAGTAGGGACTGCCAGGTCCCAATGGTGACCTCACTCCTCCTAGATTCAAGGAGTGCAGACCAGATTGTTGAGATATGGCCCTTGGGGCCATATCTCAACAAAATCTGGATTTAAGAAGGCAAAATTAAAAGAAAATATAAAGGGTGAAATTCCGGTTTTTCTTTGGACCATGGATCTGGAATCAGATGTCATGGTGGAGAGAAAACAACCGTTTTTTGTGGGCCAGCAAAAAACGGCTAGTTCCGGAATGAGGTGGCAGCCAAAAAGAAAAAGAAAACAAAAAGGAGAAAAAGACAAAACAGTGCATTTGGCCTAAAACAGAGCCAGATGGGCCAAAAATTGGAAAATTGGACCTAGGGGCTCAAATTTGAAGCATGGGCTACCATGGGGTAGCTCGGAATAATCCTGGCCTTGGATCTCAGTCAGATCCAAGGCTGAAAATGCAACGTCACATTGAAAAATGGTCCGGCCTACCCAAGGTAAGCCAAACTCAGAAAATTACTGAGAGAAGGCCCTTGTTGGCCTTTTTCTCCAATCGAAGCTGCGGTTTTTTGGTCTAGGCCCTAGAAACAGCATTTTGGAAAAGGGGTAGAGGCCTTGAGAGGCCAAGAGGCAATCCGAGTTGGTACCAACCACTCGGACTGCATGTACCTGGCCGAAAAGAGGTCCAGGTACCCCCGGAGAGGCCTAGAGGTAAGAATTGGCCAAGGGGGTACCTCGGTTCACCTTGAGGGCACTTGGGAGGGCCCAAGGGCTGGGCGGACTGCTATTTCCAGCCTATATAAGCTGGGGAATCAGTCCGCCACTCTCATACCTGCATGAGGAGTGCCCATGCTGCCCAAATGAGCCCGTGGGAGCTCTAGAGGCAATATGAGAGTAGTGAGGGAAACCCCTGCCAGTCCGGAGGTTTGGAAGTGACTATGAGCTAGTTGGGGAGACTCTACAAGCTAGAGGTAGTGAAGAAGGTAGTCCGCCATAGCCCCAGGCTAGTAGAGAAGAAGGAAAGACTGAGAGGAGTCCCACTAACCCTCCTAGAGGGGAGGACTTCCTAGTCCTAGTGATTGGAGCCCGTGGGTACTCGAAGGAGCTGAGAGAAGGGGGGGAGGAAAGGCTTGGAGAAGAAGGTAGCCATAGCCAAGAAAAGAGAAGCTTCATCAAGAAGGAGGCATCCAAGGGGGTGAGTGGAGAAGTGTCTTCCTTCTTTTTCTTCTTCTTCTTCTTCTTCTTCTTCTTCTTCCTCTTCTTCCTCTTTCCCCCCCCCTCTTCTTCTTCTCCTTCCCCTCCATCTTCCTCCCCCTCTCCCCCTCCTTCCCCTTGTGTTGTTGAGCTAAATCTTTGTCTTTTTTTCTCATAATCTCTCTCTCCTACTCATTTCTCCACTTGGTTGCAAATCGCAACCCATATCTTGATGATATGTGGTGTTTGAGTGTTGATTCAGGCTTGTTTTATCCATTCTAGCTTCTCCTTGTGAATCGCAATCCTTCCCCTTGTGTTGTTGAGCCAAAACTTTGTCTTTTTCTCTCCTAATCTCACTCTCCTACTCATCTCTCCACTTGGTTGCAAATCGCAACTCATATTTTGATGATGTGTAGTGTTTGAGTGTTGATTCATGCTTGTTTTGTCCATTTTAGCCTTTCCTTGTGAATCGCAATCCTCCCCCTTGTGTTGTTGATCTAAATCTTTGTCTTTTGCTCTCCTAATCTCTCTCTCCTACTCATTTCTCCACTTGGTTGCAAATCGAAACCCATATCTTGATGATATGTAATGTTTGAGTGTTGATTCATGCTTGTTTTGTCCATTCTAGCCTCTCCTTGTGAATCGCAATCCTTCCCCTTGTGTTGTTGAGCCAAAACTTTATCTTTTTCTCTCCTAATCTCACTCTCATACTCATCTCTCCACTTGGTTGCAAATCGCAACTCATATCTTGATGATGTGCAGTGTTTGAGTGTTGATTCATGGTTGTTTTGCCCATTCTAGCCTCTCCTTGTGAATCGCAATCCTTCCCCTTGTGTTGTTGAGCTAAACCTTTGTCTTTTTCTCTCCTAATCTCTCTCTCCTACTTATTTCTCCACTTGGTTGCAAATCGCAATCCATATCTTGATGATGTGTAGTGTTTGAGTGTTGATTCATGCTTGATTTGTCCATTCTAGCTTCTCCTTGTGAATCGTAATCCTTCCCCTTGTGTTGTTGAGCTAAAACTTGGTCTTTTCTCTCCTAATCTCTCTCTCTCCAACTCATCTCTCCACTTGGTTGCAAATCGCAACTCATACCTTGATGGTGTGTAGTGTAGGAGTGTTGTTTCTTGCTTGTTTTGTCTATTTTAGTCCCTCCTTGTGAGTCGCAATCCATCCCCTTGTGTTGGTGAGCTCAAATGTTGTCCTCTTTACCCATAATCTC